TTGAGCCCAAGGCTTCTACATACACGGCATGCATTCAAACCTTCTAGCTCTCCCCAGTTCTCCAGTGTTTATTAGTGCTGAAATAGTCTCTTGACTTCCTGGGCGCAGCTCAGTTTGGCTTACCTGGCACGTGTTCTTGGTAATGTTTGCTGGTGTGGAGTAGAACTGAGGCCCTAGCCTGTGCTGGAGTTCCCCAGTCGCCGCTTCTGTCTTCCCAGGCCCTTGTGAGGCTGTGGGTATGTTTCCTCCTCCCCTGTCTCTGCTCACTGCACGAGGAGCCTATGATCCTGCACTCAGACCGCTCATGTACCTCCCCTCTCTCCCTTCATCCTCTCTTTCCTCTCTGCCTGAGATTCTCGCAGCAAAGCAGGAAATCCCACGCTTCCCTGACCTCCTGTGCTTCCCTAACCCGTAGCTACAGATCTCCTGAGGCTTGTTCCCGCGGCAGTCCTGGGTCCCAGCGGGAGGCTGACCCTGACAATACTGTCTGCGCCCCTCTGGCCACTGTCTCTCTTTTCCTCACTAGGGCTGCAGCTCCGCTCTCTGTTGGACTCCCCTCACCTGCCAACCTTTAAAGCATTCTTTCACACAGCTTTATTCATCCATTTACTCCTCTAGCTCCTGACCTGTTTCCTGTCATTTGTAACTAAACTTGCGGATCACCTTTTACCTACTCCTGAGTCCTTTCTAGTGTGGCCTCTGCAGAAATGATTTTTACTAGGGTCACTAGTGACAGTATTCACCAGTTCAATCTCTCCCTCCTTTGATCTTTCTGAGGTTGAATTTCTTATTAAACTGTCTTCATCTTCCTACAAGGCTGTTGCTTCATTGTACGGAAATAGCACCAGCAAATGGCATATTGCAAAATTGAAATGGTCTTATTCATCTGACACTCATCATTTCTCCGTCACTTGTTTCCAGTGGAAAGACCATTAACTATTTGGACTTAAATCCAGGGTGGATGTGAGCAAATTCTATTCTAAAGGGCTTAAGATAACAGTGTTTTCCTTGAATTATTTTTTTATAACCAGTGTTTACCACTGGTATTTTCAGGAACTTAATTACGATATCCAGGGACTACCCAGAGAGTGATAGGGTGCTGTGAAAGATGCCTGCATTGTCTGTCTGTGATTTAGGGCATCGCAGTAGAGTGACTTGAATTCCCAGCTGGCAGGCCCGCCACTCTTTCTTAAAAAGCCCCCCAACCCACTTTGTATCTGTTCCAATATTACCCCATCCTGGTTTCCTGTCTCTTTGCTAATTTCCATCTCCGATTGCTAACTTTCTTCTCAACTGTTACCCTTCTCATTTCAGACCTCAGGTGTCGTCTCTGCTCTTCACCGGGAAATTTCCCTTTTCTCTACCTGCAGCTTCGAAAACTCTGTCTGATCCAGCTCTTCTGAACTCTGGATCTTCACTTTTTTGCCAATCTGTCCAGTTCTTGGGCCAGGGATGTAGCTCAGCCACTGGACACTTGATTCACTGGATTCACTCCCTGATACTACCCCCAAACAAGATAGATATTCTATCCAGTTCTTTTCATTCTTACTGTCACCAAATTGGGCCAAGTCATCACCTTAGCACAGGCCTTCATCTGTAGCTTTCAAAGAATTGTCATTGTGCCAGGGATGTGATTCTCTAGGACACACTTCATTTGTGTGAGACACAAAATTGACCCCCCAGTGCCACAGAAGAATTGTCATTGTCTCTGAATCCATGTCCACCTTTTCTCTGATTCACTTTCACACAGAAGACTGTGTTCTTCTGTTACTCTCTACTCCAGTAAGTTTAAGGTTTCTCTCTCAGTTCCAGAATCAGTCACTGACCTTTAGGGCTTCTCTTTCCTCCGGCCGCCATAGGTTCCCCTGGTTTCTCAGTGCATCTTCTGGAATTTCCCCTCTGCTTCTGCCTTTCTCCATCATCTCCACCTGGAATGTCACTTTCTCAGAGCAGCCTCTCAGCTCACTGAGACTTATCAGGACCGTTCATTGCAGCATCTTTCAGAAACCTTTCACCCTTTCTTATTTTGCCCTTTAAAGAATTGGTTCCCTTGTAATTATCAATGTTGTTCTCCTTTAGCACTCGGTCCCCTGAGGACAGAGACCAGGTCCAGTAACTGCTACTTTGTAGGTGCCTCAAATATTTTGATGGAAGGAGGGAAGAATTTGGGTGGCTTTTTTAATGTCATCAAGCTCATAATCTTTGTATTGTGCTGGCAGTGCTCAGGGTTTATGCCTAACTCTGCACCAGAGATCACTCCTGGTGGGGCTAAGGAGACCCTTTATGGTGGCAGAAATGAAACCAGAGTCAGCATTGTGCAAGGCAAGTGCCCTAGCCACTGGACTATCTGCCCAGCCCAAGCTCAGTAGTCTTAAACCATTAGGCTACAGACCACTGCTGGGAACACTGGTGTGCTGGCTTGGTTGTAGGCCGTACATGCAGACAGGTGCTGGTCTGTAGGGGTAGGAGGGTGGAAGAGCTCTGATCAGATCTGACAGGATTGAAACTCAGTCTGCCTGATCCTAACAGATGGCTCCCGACACTCAGCCTTGAGTGATCAGGATTAGGGGTCGGGAGGGTGAAGCTCGAACCTTCCAGCCACCTCTGCCTCCACTCCACCTTCCGGCCTCCTTGGTGGGCACCCACAAGGGCTTCCCTGCTGCACTTACCCGTGACTGGTGGAACATGATGGGATCGACCATGTCTGCCTTTTGGCCACATTAGCCACACTGGGGAACACTCCAGGAACTAAAGATCTGTCACGCTCTTTCCTCGGCAGCTCCTCTTGCCATGGCTTCATCTGAGATCCCTTGAGCCTGCATTTGCTTCTGGCCCCGTGTCCGAGGGGCAGACTCTAGCATTCGGGGGAAAGCTCTTCCATAGAGCCTCCGGCAGCTCCTGCCGGTGCTGGCTTCCTGGTGGTCCTGCGGCCCCGGGGAAGTGGTGCCCATGCCACACAGCTGTGTGGGGGCTCCACTCCAGCTGCACCTGACCTTTGGGTTTCTTTACTCCCTGTGCACTTGAGGGGCCTAGGGAGTCAGCCCGAATGCCCTGCAGAGCCGCTGCTTGTTGAGCTCTTAGGTGGGGTAGTGGGGAGAGGGGAGGAATCTCCTCGGTTCCCCGGCACTAGCATCCTGAGACTGCAGTTCTGCCATGTTGCTCCTCCTCGGGAACTCCTTCCTGCAGGTCCTTGCCCTGTCCTGACTCCCACTTACCCAGTCCATTGCCTTTCGTGCTCTGGGCACATAAACCAGCCCCTGAGGAACAACTGGCACTCGGCAGGTATCAGCAGAGCTGCTGGGGGCCTTTGATGGAACTCGGGCAGAGTCAGAGGGGCTTGGGCTCTGCTTGCAGCTTCATGTTATTCTCCTCTGGGGGGCTGCTCTGCTGCTCTGTAGCTCTCATGGAACTCACCTGCCCCTTGAGAGAGTTTTGCCTGCAGGGGAGGTCAAGTGAAGGCAGTCCTTTCCTCTAGTGGATTGTTGGTGTTTCATTGGTGTTCATTTCATTCATGTTGATGTTTTCATGTTCATTCATTTCTTGTTGATGTTTTCATTGTTCTTGGTACTGGAAGTCAAACCCAGTGACTTGCACATTGCAAGGCAAGTGCTCTGCCACTGAGCTACCATTTTATCCTCGGGGAAAGGGAGGGAGATTTCCCAGTGGCCCTTGGGCCAGTCATGCCAGCGGTTCATTCCAAAGGCCTGGGGATACGGTGTTGCTTGTCCCTGCACTGCTGGGGTGCCTGGGCTCTCCGGTGATCTTCCCGGTGATGATTGGGTAGCATGTGGTGCTGGGATCAACAGGGATCAGGTGCATGCATTGTATGCACCTTACCTGTTGTGCTATTTCTCCAGCCCTGCTCAGCCATTTTAGAAATGCATTCATGGGGCTGGTGTCATAGGACAGCAGGGAGGGCCTTTGCCTTGTACATGACCTACCCCTGGTTTGAACCCCAGCATCCCATATGTTCCCCCGAGCATCACCAGGAGTAATACCTGAGTTCAGAGCCAAGAATAATCCCTGAGCATCTCTGGGTGTGACCCAAAAAGCCAAAAGAAAGAAAACTAAAAATAAATTTTTAAATGCATTCATAAGGCCAGAGCAAGAGTACAGTGGGTAGGGCGTTTGCATTGCATGCATCTGAACCTCAGTTAAATTCTCAGCATCTCGTATGGTCATCTAAGCACAACTAGGAGTGATCTCTGAGTGCAGAACCAGAAGTCAGCCCTGAGCATCGCCAGGTGTGGCCCAAACCATTTCCTGCCCACCCCCAAAAATGCATTCACTATATAGACAGTGTCCATTAGACCAGTATTATAGTCCTAGGATATTCCAAGGGGGCCACAAGAAGAAAACAAGGTCGGAAGGTGCTGGGGTCGGGAAAAGGTTGGAAGCTGTTAGATAGTTGCTCACTTTCTTTCCTCCCAGCAGCAGGTTAACTGTTGTTTTTTTTTTTTCTATCTCTCTGAATTTGCCTATTTGATATATTTTCTATAAATGAAATAATAAGTTTTTGTTCTTTCTGTACTTCACTGCACATACTACATTCAGGGCTGTGCACACTGTTGCATGGGTCAGGACTTGCTTATGATTGACCGTTTGTCTGCGTGGCCACACCACGGGCTACTTGTTCCTCTGCTGGTGGACACGGGTTGTTTGTTGACTGTTGTGAATCATGCTGCTGGGAGCAGGGGTGACACGGGGGTCTTAGTTCCTGCTCGCATCTTGAGGGGTAGTTTCCCAGCAGTGGAATTGCTGTGTCGTAGGGTAACTCCTCGTTTACCTTCTCAGGAATTGCCCTGTCACTGTGCCCTGCGCGGCCCTCTCACGTCTGACTACCACCCCGCGTCTGGGCTCTCTCCCCGGTCCACACAGCACACACAGGCTGCATTTGGCATCGAAGGGACTCGGGCCTCCTGCGCTCCTTTGCTTCCCCCCTGAAGGCCTGAGCCTTGCAGTTCCCGCCTCTGACTCTTTCCCGTGCCCCGTCTCTCCAGTTCTACAGCGAGTCGGGCATGCCCACCAAGCACCTGTCGGACAGCGTGTGCGCCGTGTGTGGGCAGCAGATCTTTGTGGACGTCAGTGAAGAGGGCATCATCGAGAACACGTACAGGCTGTCCTGCAACCACGTGTATCCTGCCCGAGCTCCCTGGCCCACAAGTGTGGCAATCAGGGCAGGCACCTGGGTGGCGTTTCTGCAGGCGGGACCAGCACCCTGGGCTGGGAAGGGAGCTCATAGATCAGCACCCTGCAGTGCCACCTCCAGCACAGTCCCGTGGCTCGAGAGAACCCCTGCCTGGCCTCAGTTTAAGCTTCCTGGCTTGGCTCTTCAGGAGCAGAGGAGACCTAGACCCAGGCCATGGTCTGGGCCCTTCCTTAACTTTCTCAGTTCAGGCTTCTCGCCTGGGGTCTTAGTGGAGGGGCAGCAGAAACACCCCCGGAACAGAATCCCCAGCTCCCTCTCCAGCTTCTGGCCCAGTCCTGAGCTGTGAGAGGAAAAGGAAGGGCCTCATCTTCCGGAGCTGCTCGGCCAGTGCTCGAAGCCCGGTGGCTGGGGAAGGAACCGGAAGCGGCTCCAGCTGCCTCAAGGCGGGATTCCCCCAGGGGAGCTGCTGCCTCTTCCTGCATCACTGTTGAGACTCAGCCGCCCATGACGAGCCCTCCACTCTGCCTCACCTTGGTACCCTCCTGTCCCACACAGTCACTGTCCTTTCGGTGACCGGGAAGCAGGCAGAGAGGGGACTTGCTGAATGTTAGACAGCTGCTAAGAGGTATGGCCAGGCTTTGGTCTCTCCAGAGCTGGTGCAGGGTCGCCTGGAGGCCAGGCCGGGCCATCCCGGCTGCTCACCATTTCCCTTGACTGGGGTGCCTAGATTCCACGAGTTCTGCATCCGCGGCTGGTGCATTGTGGGAAAGAAGCAGACATGTCCCTACTGCAAAGAGAAGGTCGACCTCAAGAGGATGTTCAGCAACCCGTATCCTTTGTTTGGATTCTGGCCTCTGCTCCCAGCCTCTCCCGCCCCGTGCCCTGGCCCTTCCCCTCCCAGCCTGTGGGGCCACCTGCACTCCCCACTCTCCCCATATACCCTTTCTCCCTGGGGACTGGTGCGGCTCTGCAGGGGGCACATTCACGATGGTTCGCTCTGGCCTAAGGTGATGCTAGACTCCAAGCGGCCTTAATTCAGAGACCAGCTGGCCTGCCTGGATGGAGGGCAGCTACTCCAGAGCTCAGATCCAGCTGCCTCTGTCTTACTTAGGATTTTAATGTGAAGTGAAAGGCAGGAGATGCATCTCCCCCAGAGCTTAGTAGGCAGAAGACTTGGTTTTTAGGTTCGGGGGCTGGGGAGGTCCTAGAACCCTTGCCCAGGGTCGTTATCTCACAGCCCATCACTCCCTACTGCTGCGGGTTGAACCCTCGCTCACTAGAATATCCTCCATTCTGGACAGTAGAAGGACCTTGGCATTCCCTCATCCACTCCCAGTCTCCCTGCAGCATTGTCCCAGCTCGGTCCACAGCCCCTGCGGGCCCTGCCTCTCCTGGGCACTGCAGCCTCGGGATGGGTTTGCTGGGACCCTCTTGACAGACGCCCTCCCCTCCTCCCCACTGCCCACCCTGGCCTCTCACCTGGTGTCTTTTCTTTAATGCACGGCAGCTGGGAGCGGCCTCACGTCATGTACGGGCAGCTGCTGGATTGGCTGCGCTACTTGGTGGCCTGGCAGCCTGTTATCATCGGCCTGGTGCAAGGCATCAACTACGTCCTGGGCCTGGAGTAGCGGCGCCCGCGCGCCCGCCCATCCACCCGTCCGCCCGCCGTGGTCCTCAGACACACGCCTCCTGCCCTCCCAGGGGGCCAGACTCCCCCAGCACTTGGGCCACTCAGGACCCCTGCGGCTGTGCCCGGGCTGGGAGGGTCTGGTGGAGAGCCTGGCCAGTGGGGCTGTCAGCAATGGGGACTTTTTAAAAGAAAACTATTTTGATGAATATATTTAAAACCTTTTTTTTATTGTGGAACATAGGAATTGTCTCCCTGCAGGAGCAGAGCAGGACAGACACAGCGTTTTGGTTTAAAGGCGCCTTCACACTTCCCCCCTTCCTTCCCTCTGGGGCTTCAGCTGGTGTCCCCGAAGGGCATCGGGGTCGAGTCGGCCTCCACGCGTCGTGTGGGACAGAGGGCTTGGCCTCTCGCCTCCTCTCCAGGACCCCTAGGCTGCTTGAGGCAGGAGGCACCTGGTGACTTTGCCAACAAGCAAAGCAGAGGGAGCTGAAAATTCACTGGAGACAGTAAGACACAGTGTGGCTGGGTGAGTGGCCTCTGCGCTGGACTCCGCTGAGAGCAGAGGCCCCGACTGCAAAGCCACTTCTTCCTGGGAATTGGCGAAGGTGCCAAAGGCCACTCTCCTACATCACCTTCCTGGAAGCGGGGTGCTCGTGTGGTCACAGAGGCACGATGGCCCTGAGACGTCCTGTCAGCCAACCTGGAAGTGCCAGGGGAGGCCCAGAAGTGCATGGGTCTGCGAAGTGGCGTCTGGTGCCTCCCAGGCCTGGTCCCGGGAGTTTGGGATAATGTGGGAAGCACGTGTGGGCCTCTGGGGTAAGACTGGGCCGCGCTTCCAGGGCAGTCAAAACCAGCAAGATCCTGTCACTCCGTTCCGAATAAAGCTCCGTGAGCTGGGCTGGAAAGCTGAACGTCATCTTCTTTTCTTGCCTCCACTGTCCCTGGGGGCTCTGGGCATGTCTGGCTTTTGGTGCGCCCATATGTAAGCTGGGGCTGCAGTGGGCCGGGATGCTGTCCCTGTTGTAGCTAAAGGGGCCCTGGGGCATCACCTGACCCTTTCCCACCCGGGGTCAGTGCAGCCACCCCGTCCTGCTCTTGGGCCTCCCATAACTTTGGTTCCCCATACCCAGTTGGAACTCAACCGTGGTCTCCACTCTCGGAAAGGAAAGGTGGAAGAACTCGAGAATTGCCCTTTCCACATCCCACACCGAAGTTAGGGAGACAGTCTTGAGCCCGCCACCTGGCTCCAGCTTACTCGTGCTATGGTCATACTTTTAGGTGAAACGCCCATGCGCAACCCCCCACCTCCCCAGCACATCCCCACTGTCTCCCGGGGCACCCCTGCCTGTCCCTCACTGGTGAGGAACGTCCTGCCTCCTAGGAAGTTCTCTGCAGCTGGGAGCTGGGCGGGCAGGACATCACTGGAGTACTGGCAGTGGTGCTGGGCTCCTGCATTGAATTTAGGTCAGTGATCCATGCACAACCAGAGACCACAACAGCCCACTTTGGGGTCACAGTAGATATTCCGAACCAGCATATCCTCCAAACCTGGTCCATCAGGGCATCTTCTCCCCACAGAGTCTGCACCCCTGCCTCAGCCTTCCGTTTCCCTCTTTCCCCTCCTCACCTGCACCCCAGTGGGACCTAACTTTGTTTAGCTCTGTTATTGCTAGAGACTGTTATTGCTAGTGGGGGGCTGGAGGGAGGGGAGGGCCCCTCTTTTCAGGGCCTGCATGCGAGCTCACGTTCCAGTTCCCGGCTTGATTCTGGGAAGTACCTGCAGACCCGCAGTTCCTGTGCCGTAATTGCTGCCCTGCACCCCAGCTCCAAGGTGGAAGGTTCCAGACAGGGCTCTGCAGGACCTGAGAGCTCAGGTAGGCTTACTGGAAGGTGGTGTGTGGGGACAGTGGCTGGGGAGGTGGGTTAGCAGTAGAGCTCATGCCTTGCATATGTGGGGCCCTGGGTAAGTGGAGAACCCAAGAAAGGGCAAAATGTAGATGGGCTGGTGTGACCTTGAGCCTGAAATAAAGTGACCGAGCTTGGGTCCCCAGGATCTCGGAAAGTGCCGCCTTCAATAGTGGAAAATGCAGAGGCTGCTCTGAGGACGGCGTCTTAACCCTGCAGGACCCCTAATGGGGATGGAAGAGTGAAGAAAGGTGAGAGGCACTTTCATCCACATCCTGTGACTGAGGGAGGCGTGGGGGGATAAAGAGATCATGCCCATAGTTTGCTGGGGAGGGGCCTGGGTGTCTGGAACGTCTGATTCTCACTCCCAGAGAGGATCTTGAAAGTTGGACTCCACTGTTGTGGGAAGATAAGACTAGGATGCAAGGCAAGTGCCTTATTCCCCCACTATTCTTAAGACCAAGGATGTTCCGGTTTTTTTGTTGTTTTTGGTGGTGGTTTTTGAACCACACCTGGTTGTGCTCAGCACTTTCTTCTTGCTTTGTGCGTAAGGATCACTCCTGGCAGGGCTTGGGGGACCATATGGGGTGCTGGGGATCAAACCTGGATTTGACCATATGTGAAGTCAAATATCCTACCCATTGTATTAACTGCTCTAGCCCCTGTGGATATTTTTTGGGGTTTTGCTTCTTGCATCACCCCCAGTGCTCAGGGATTAATTCTGACTCTATCAGGGATCATTCCTGGCATGCTTGGGCAACTGTGCCAGAGTGCTCGGGATTGAATACGTGCCAGCCGTGTACAAGGCACCCACCCACTTGCCTGACCTGGATGTTCAGTTTCTTGAGTAAAAGTGAAAGTGAGGGGTTGTGGGGAGGGAGCCCGTTCCCAGCAGCTTTGTTCTCACCCTTCCTGGAACCTACTCTGTCAGAAAACCAAGCCTCCTTTGTAGAAGTCTTTGCCCTCTTGGGGCCTCACTTTCTCCATTCCAGTAGAGGCTTTAGATTGCACAAGTAATCAGCATGAATTCTGGGGGCAAGGGGGAGGTAGGGCTGAGGGTGCTGCCACTGCATGCCCTCTTACCGGAGGAATGAGCCGGTGCCTGTTCTGTGGTTTCTTGTTGGGATGCCCGGCCAGGTAGACATCACAGAATGCCTGCCGACCTGCCAGTGTTCAGACCCAGGCTGGGGAGAACCGGGATGGGTTTGGGGATGGCTGGGGCACCTGTTTTGCGTGCTGGAGCCCTGATTCAATCTCTGCCACCTCATGCTTCCCCAGCCACCCCTGGGAATCCCCACCTCTGAGCAACATACTGGGAATGACCTCACGTACCTGTGTGCCCCTTATCACCACAAAGCAAATTAGACCAAGGGAGAGTCTGCAGGAGGAGGGGCCAAGGTCTGTGTAAGCCATGAAGAGACTATTGCCCAACCAAGAAGATGTAGTTTCTCTTCCCTTATTGCAATTATATTAGAGCCGGGCAGTATGTTCCTCACACACATGAGACAGGCGGGGATGCCAGGTGGGACCTGGGGCTTGGGGACTGGGGAGGGGAGAATGGGGAGCGCTTTGACCCTGACTGAGCCCCAGATGCTCTGGCTCATTGGGCAGTGCTGTTTGCGTAGTCTCAGTCCAGATGTGGGGTTGTGGCTCCATGCCGAAGGACTTTCTGCCCAGTGCCCTGGGTGGAACAGCTGCCACTGCCTCTTCCACTGGCTGACCAAGCCAGGATTCTGTGGCCCCAGCAATGGAACACCTGCTGACAGCTGTCCTTCCTTCAGAGCCCAGCACCGTGCACGTCCCGCTCCTGTGTTGTACACACTCTTCTCTTACCTGGTCCTTGCCAGCCCTGTACCTCAGGCCACCACAGCTCAGCAGTGCCCGGCGTTAGAGGTGACGGGAAACCAGATAGGCAGAGGGCAGAAAGGGGCTTTCTGCTCAAGGTGCCAATGAATGGACCCAGGGAGTCAGCTCAGGATGGAGGTGGGACCTACAGAATCAACCATTCCAAGGCTGTCCCTCCCTGAGCACTGCCCTAGGTGGGGCTCCTGGTTGTCATCAGTAAGGCTCTGTCCCCATGTCCCCTAAGGGACATGCACCCCCGGGGAACGAGTGTACAGAATCACAGGGCTGAGCAGACTACAGGTGGGCAGCAGAGGGGTGTCTGTGGGAGAGCTAATGGTCTCCTGTCCGCCCCCCCCCCCCTTCCCGATGGCATGGTGACCCTGACCTGTAGTGCCTGCAGCCACTTCCCTCACTTCAGCATCCTGTACTGGCTGGGCAATGGCTCCTTCATTGACCATCTCCCAGGCCGGCTGCATGAGGGCAGCACCAGGTGAGGTGTGGGTGTGAGGCTGCAGGGAGGGTACCTCCTCCCAAGCCTCACCCCCTCCCATTGCTGCTGCAGCCGGGCCCACGGCAGGGCACACACCCAGCTCACCAAGGTGCTGGTGCTGGAGGAGCTGAGTCACACCCTGTGCAGCACCAACTTTACCTGCGTCTTCGCTGACCTTGGACACTCTCCCCTGAGCCACGTCATGCTGGTCCAGTTGTGGGTGAGGACCCTGGGATGATGTGTGGGGACAGCTCTGCTCCAGTATAGGAATGGAAAGGGACCTAGGTGTGGCCTAGTGATGCGGGGTTGTCCTCTGGCCCTTACCCTTGTCTGCCTTTGCTCCCTAGCAGGTGCCACCCTGGTCCAGGAGCCCAGTCCTCCAGTCAGTCACAGCCAGGAGTCAGCCCACAGCCCTGCCTGATCTGTGAGTGTGGACTGGCCAGCAGCAGAGCTCCCACCTACAAATACCATAATCCTTGGGCCCAGGGAACTGGCTCAAAGGGCTACCCCTTCCTGAATGCTGCTTCCTCACTGGGCAGAAGCCTGCGAGCCTCCACGTTCTGTACCGGCTTGTTGTGGGGGGCTGCTCTGATCATAATATAAGAGATTCTTGGGCACATCCAGTGTCTCATTTACGGTTGCGCCATGAACATGACACACCAGCCCCTCACCATGAAACCACACAATATGCAAGGGAGAAAAATAGACTTTATTTACAAGTAATAACATTTAGAAAAGATCCATTCCTGGCCCTTAAAAACCTTCCCATCACTCCACACCCCGCCCCAATTAAGTCTGGGGCAAAGTGCGAGTGAGCTGCCCCCATGAGGCACAGGGCCTGGAAAACAACATCCTCCAGGCACTGTGGCCTAGGGAGGAGGGAGCACCTGGGGGTGTGGTGCTCCCACATCAATGCCCAGTCCTGGACTTCAAGAGCAAGAGCCCTGCTCGGCCCAACTGCCAGGAGCAGTAGGGACCAGGGCCTGCCCCTCCAGTGGTCCCTTCTAGATCCAGAGGCTGAGGCCAGGCCAGGCCCAAGGCCCAGCCTTCCATGCCCACCTCCAACCTGGCTGTGAAGGAAGTAACTGCTCTAGGGGAACATGGGGAGGCGGATTGGGGTGGGGGGTCAGACCCTCTGGGCCACCCAGGCCCACTCTGAGGACACAAGTCTGACACCTCACAGAAGCTCCCGGAAGGGCCAAGGAGCAGGCAGGCGGAGTGTCGGCAGCATCACTGTCTCTCGGGGCTTGGCTACTCTTGGCCTGGGAGCTGCAAGAAGGCACTGAGGGGGACGGTGGCAGGAGAAGGACCAGGCGAGGTCAGCATTGGGGACAGGTGGGGCCACTCACTGGTATTGGCCCTTTAGTGCTTGGCCTGGAAGACAGTCACCATTCAAGTGAGGAGAGGTGCCCCTGCCCCCCACGGGCCTCCCTGAGCCCACCCTCTTGTCCGTGCTTCTACCTTGCCCTTTGCCCGTGGTGGGGTGGTGGCAGCAGCCGTGGCGATGCGAGGGGAACGACGGGTTCCACTGCGGGTGTTAGGGGACGCCTTTGACAGGGCTTTCTTGGAGGCCCCCCTCCGCAGAAGG